TGCTGGGGGATTGAACTGCGGTCCCTGTGTTTTGCTTAGCTTAGCTTGTTCTAAGTAGGTGCTTTAGACCACTGAGCCATCTCACCAGCCCTTATTTTTTGTTTAAATTTTATATTATTTTGGACTGGCCAAATAGCTCAGTAGATTAAAGTGCCTGCTTAGGCAGATGCAGGGACTGGGATTCAATCCCCGGGCCTGCTGTGCTGGCCCTGCTGCCAGAGTGTGCTGAGACGGTGATTGAGACTGGGCATGGTGGCGCGTGCCTGGAATCCTAGCTCTTGGGAGGCTGTAAACAGGAGGATCACTAAGAGTCCGATCTAGGTAGAGAGAACCTGTAGACCCTGTACTAAATAAATACATTTTATTTTATTTTGAAAAGCAAAAACAAAAAGTGGAAACAAATACAAATACAGGATAACATAAAACAATACATAAAAAAATAAATAAAACAATACATATGTTACAGATTTTGAAAACAAAAATAGCATATTAACAATGGTTGTTATATTGAAAAAAAAACCCCAATGGTTGTTATATTACCTATCTTTATCGTCACATCTGTTACTCAGATTAACAGATATCATGGAAGTTATTTGTGTTTTTTTTTGAGGCAGAGTCTTGCTATGCAGTAAAGGCTGGCCTTGAGCTCACTTTGTAGCCCAGGCTGGTCTTGAACTCCCAGTGATCCTCCTGCCTCAGCCTCTTGAGTGCCAGGATTACAGGCGTGCACCATCACTCCCAGCTTGGTTTTCCTTCCTAGCGTATCTTTAGAGTGCTGTTGTCTGAGCGCTAGCATCCTCTCCATGTGTATGTGTGCCATCACCCCTCAGTTGGTGCTTTGCGGCTGAGCTGTTGGGGGACAGGCAGACTGGGGAGCTGGTGGCCCCGTCCCTTCTGCTACCTATGAAGGGCACAGAAGCGGCGCCATCTGGAAGGCACGAGCCCTCATGGAACATCGAACCTGTTGCTCCCTTGATCTCGCACTTGCCAGACTCCAGAAAGCAAGTCGCAGTTTTCTGTGGCTCATAAATTACCCAGTGCGAGGTATTTTGTTACAGTACACAGGAAAGAGAGAGCGCCGCTGTTGCGCATGGACGGCGTCCTCAGGGTTTTGTTTTTTTTTTTTTGACTGCATCGCAAGGGCTGTCTGATAAAATACAGGTTAGCACTTATACTTAGATGCTTTCTATTTTCAATGAGCAACAAGTCTGATTTTAGTATGTATTTGTCCCAAGTGAGATTGTAGAGAGTCTTAGGCTAAAAAAACCTATTATTTATGTGAAATTCAAACTTTGCCAGGTGTCCTATGTTTTTCCTAGCCTGAATCAGTCACTGGGGGCTTTGGGTATCGGATGCTGAGCTTGGGGTTCCCTCTGCACTCCTATTCTTGTGTGTGTGTGTGTGTGTGTGTGTGTGTGTGTGTGTGCGTGAGTGTCCGGAGCACCAAGGTTGAACCTAGGGCCTCAAGTGTACACATCCCACACCACCGCTGAGCCACCCCTCCCAGCGTTGTCCCTAGTTGGACCTGGGTGCCCGACTTTGGACCCAGGGCTGGGTTTGTAGCACCAGGCCTCAGTTACTGACATAACAAAGGTATGGCCCAGAAAATTGCATAGTCTACCTCTCTTCCTTTTTTTTTTTTTTTTCTTTTCTGTAGATTGAACCAGGGTCTTCACAGTGAGCCGAATCCCCAGTTTATTTTTTATTTTGAGACAGAGACTCACTAGACCAGTTGTTAAACTGCCCAGGTAGAGCATGGACTTGCAGCCCCCCAGGGGATTATAGGTGTGCCCCACCATACTCTGAAGGCTCAGAGGGGGCTCAGGAGAGGTTGCACCCAAGTCTTTAGTAGCTGTCTTGCACCCTGAGATTTTGCTTGTCTTTTTTTTTTTTTTTTTTTTCAGAACTGGGGATTGAACTCAGGCCCTTGTGCTTGCCAGGGAAGCATTTATTCCACTGAGCCATCTCCCCGGCCCTTGTTTGTCTTTTTGAGACAGGGTCTTGCTATGCTGTCCAGGCAGGCCTTGAGCTCACCTTGTACCCCAGGCTGGTCTCGAACTCACAATGATTCTCCTGCCTCAGCTTCCTGGGTGCTGGGATTACAGGCATACACCACCATGCCTGGCTCAGCCTGAGCATCTGGAGCAAGCACGGATACCTGCAGAACAGAGCGAAGGGTCTGGTTCTCCTGCCCGGAGGATGAGTTACTCAGAGCTGAGACAGTGCCAGAAGGCCTGGCTAATTGTGGTGATGATGATGATGACGATCGGGTAGTGACGGTGCACGTCAGTAATCTCAGCAACTAGGAGGCTGAGGCAGGAGCAACACAAGTTTCAGCCCAGCCTGGGCAATGTTTTTCGGAAAAGCTGGGCGCAGCTCATTGGTAAAGTGCTTGCCTATCTACCCAAGGCCCTGGGTTCAATGAGAAATTGGAAGAAGTCTGTGAAAGTGAGACTGCCGGCCCCCTCAGAAAGCAGGTGCAGGAGGGGACTGTTCTGGGCATGCCCCTGCCATCAGGCCTGGCCAGCCTTGTCTCCTGAAACGGCACAGCGAATAACCGGGCAGAGGACTCAGGCTTTCTGTTCAACCTGAGGGCTGTCCTTCCCCCCCCCCCGCTTTTTTTCCCTTTTTTTTAGTACCGGGGCTTGAACTTAGGACCTTGTGCTTGCCTTGCTGTTGCAAAAGAAGCTTGTAGGTGGCAGGGAGGGAGGGAGTCCTGTAACCGAACTGAGACTTCTCAGAGAACACCTGGAAGTCTCCCTTGTCTACTTACGAACCCTTACGAACGCTGCCCTTCTCTCTCCCATATCTACTGTTAGGTTAGTTGATTTTGGTGGCTCTGGGGAGTAAACCCAGAGCCTCCCCAGTGCTGGGATTCAGCCCAGCCTGGCTTTAGTATAACCAGTGCCCCCTCCAAGGAAGGGGTGGAGGAAGCCATAGAGACGACCCATCTGCTGTGCTCCTGGAAGCCACAGGTCCCCTAGTCCGCAAGAGATGCCTGTGAGCCAGTCTTTCCTGCTTTTGTTTTCAGATCCTAATGCCACCACCCCTCACCACCGAATGTCAGCAAAGTCCTCTGCCCTCCATCTCCTTAGGTTGCCATTCTCGGTGTCACAATCACCAGCCCTAGGCAAAGCCCTCACCTGGGCCAGTGGACGGGGCACCAACAAACGAGTGCGGGAGAGGGAAGGCATGAGCAGGAATCATAAGGGGCAGAATAATGAACCCCAAAGAGGCTCACACCCGGGCTGGGGGAGGGGCGCACGCCTGTGGTCCCAGCACTCTGGGAAGCTAAGGCAGGAGGATCACAAGTTCTAGCCAGGTCTGGACAATGTAGGGACTCGGTGAGACTCTGTCTTAAAATAAAAATGGGCTGGGGATATCCCGTCAGTGCCAAGGCTCTGGGTTCAATTCCCATTATGGGGAAAAAACAAACAAACCCATATTTCAGTCCACGAAACCTGCAAAAGGGCCACCTTACAAGATTATATGGCAAAAGGGACTCTGCAGATGAGATTAAGCTAAGGGCCTGGAGCTAGGGAGAAATTCCAGCTGTGGACAGTGGTTTCAGCCCATGCATGAGCGCTCCAGCCTGCATGCACATTCCAGCTGGCCCTAGCCAGCCCCCACATTCACATCCATTAGTTCCTTGCAATAAATCTCTACGTTTCTGTCTCTGCCCAGGACCTCCATCCCACATCCTGTCTCTGCCTGTCTCTCTCTCTCTCTTTCTGAGCGCAGCCTACCGAGTCAGGGACCAAGTGAAACTGGCCACCTGGATATGTACTGAGGGTCTACCGAGGGTGGGGGCGTGGTGGGTAGAGGAAACCCAGGGCCTAGAAGTTAAGCAGGCCCAGGCCCCATGGAGTGGGATCTGTGTCACACCCAGGTCCCCAGTGCCAGGACACTGGGCCTGCTGACCTAGGCTGAGGGCCCCTAGCTCCCTGTCCCCAGGCTGCTGAGCAAACACAGGGGTGGGGAAAGGAGCAGCGGAGGGCTGAGAGGGGAGACTCGGAGGTCTGGACAGGGACACAGGTGAGGTCTCCGGGAACAGAGAGGGCCCAGAAGTACCAGAGATGCCAAATCATGTGGCCAGCCATGGGGACCCTGCCCAGAACCTGACGCAGCCCCTGTCCTCACCTCCTCCGCACCTAGTAAGTGCAGCTCCTGGCGCTGCCGAAGGAATGATCTGAGCCTGGCAGCCCTAGGTGAGGCATTTGGCAAGGAGAGAAGAGGGGAGCCCAGAGCAGGTGGAGGAGGACCGGCCGCCTTCAGAAGCCAGCCCCGCGCAAGGTAGGTACAGAGCTTTCCTGCCTCCCCACCTTCCCCCGCCCCTGTCCTCAGAGTGGGGCTCTCTGCCCAGCTTTCCCGGTTCTCTTGTCCCCTCAGACCTTTCCTGCTCTGTGGTTTTGTTGTTGGTTTTTTTTTTTTTTTTTTTTTTTTGGTGGAACCAGGGTTTTGAACTCAGATCCTTGTGCTTGCCAGGCAAGCCCTTATTCTACCGAGCCATTTCCCTGGCCCCTGCTCTGTGGTTTTAGAAAACAATTTGGACCCTTTCAGGGCTTGGGAGAAGAGGGCTGTGCCCCACCCTGGCCCTCTTAGCGGTGGTAAGAAATGCTTCACATTCCTGGGTTGAGAGGCCGGGGCCTTTTTTTTTTTTTTAACTGCTCAGAGCTGGGATGACCCAGATGAGCAATGCGAAGTATGAACCGACCCTCGCACCTCCTCGGCTCCCTCAGCACCGCAGGACAGCACTGCAGGGGTGCACAGGGCCGGCCTGGGCTGGCTGGGGAGACTGGACCCCCTCAGGTCCCGACAAGGAGGCCGAGAGCCCTAAAGTGGTAAAGAGCACATTCCCAGGGCTTCCTGTGGGAGTGGGAGTGGTGCCGGGCGCTGTCTTGGGGCTGCGCCCCCAGGGCCTGTGAGGTTCTTGTTAGTGTCCCCACAGCACCCAGGCTGGCCTGGCCCCCAGGAGGTGCTGCACAGCTGTTTATGGAGGGGATGGGTGAACGCGCATGGGGTCAGTGGACATGGGTATCAGATTGATGTCCGGGAGGGGCTGCATGTATGTGGGGTGGTGACCTGGGATACCACGAGCGAGTGGGAGGCTGAGCGCAGGAGCCAGACGCTGCTACAGCCCAGATGTCTATGCTTCACGTACAGCCCTGTGACTGCACAGAGCACAGATGAAGGGCTGGAGCCAGAGAGGGTATGTAACTCGCTCAAGGTACACAGCAGGTAAGTGCAGGGGTCTGTACATGTGTGGAGTCCGGAGGAAGCCAGAGTAAAGGGCTGGGGGTGGGGGGCAGCGATGTGAGACACTTGAGGAAACCAGAAGGCCCAGAGCTGTGGGGCTGCCTGGCAGGGGAGGAGCGAGACACAGGAGGACGGGCCAGACAGGCTGGCAGGCGCTGGGTTGTGTGGCTGCCATGAGGGGTCCGATCTGCTGTGTCCTGTTTGTTGGATTTCCAGGCCGTGTGTCCTTTGTAGAAGTGATTTGATGCAACAGAGTCCCTGGAGTGCTGTGTGCTGACCGGTGGATAAAGCCTTCCAGCAGTAAGATGTCAGGGCAGCGGCCCTCTGTCCCCTGGGGTCCAAGGCCTTCAGCTGCTCTGAGGCAGTGGACTTCTTGCTCAGTTCACCCCAGAAGTGGGGTGGGTAGAGTGCAGGGGCAGCAGGGATGCTGGGCCAGGCCAGGGAGTCCTAATCCCACCCACCCCAGACCCCCATCTCTATTCTGCAAGTAGGGAGACCCCAGGTAGTCACTGGAGCCCCAGGACTTCGGATAACCATCTCCCGTCCACCTGGAGTGGCAGTGGCTCAAAGTGACAACAGCTGCATACTCAGCACTTGCAGGTGGGTGACCTTGGTGATTCAGAGCCCAGATGCTGGTCACACCCTTCTGCAAACGTTTCCTGGGAAAATGACAAGGACAGCCAGGCCCCACGTCCAGGTGGCTCTTTATAGTCTGCAGAATCTGATTATAGACCTCATTTGATCTGATCCCTACACAAATCCAGAAGCCAGCTGGACACCATTTGTCTTCCAATTTAAAGACCAAGAAACAGAGAAACCAAGCATAAAGTGGTGTCTTGCCTGGGGTTTCTTCATCCTTGGGACCAACTCAGACATCCATGGCAGTTTTGGACCCTCGGCTCCATCAGGTGCTTACTTAGTATTTATTTTATTGGCTGGATCTTGATTTGTACCCTTGAATGGGCTGGAGCTTGCAATCCTCCTGTCTCAGCCTCCCGAGTGCTGGGGCTACAGTACACACCCACTGTTTTTAACTTCCTTCTCAAAAGTATGTTCGCAAATGTCAACACCACTTGTCTCGCTGGCTTAGCCCAGAATCCTGACTAGAATCCTATTATTGGGCACGGTGGCATACTCCTGTGATCCCAGCATTCGGGATGCTGAGGCAAGAGGATGGTTGCGAGTTCAAGACCAGCCTGGGCTATAAAGTGAGCTCAAGGCATAGGGAGACCCTGTCTCAAAAAGACCAAAAAAAAAAAAAAAGAGTCCCAACATGGAGGCCCATGCCTGTAATCCCAGTGCTGGGGTGGCTGAAAGCAGGAAGATCATTATGAGCCCAAGCTATGTAGTGAGCCTATACCAAATACATTAAAAAATAAAAATAAAAATAAAGGACAAAAAAAAAAAAATCCTATCACTACTACTATTTTATTTTATTTTTTTTTTTGCGGAACCAGGGATTGAACTTAGGCCCTTGCGCTTGCCAGGGAAGTACTTATTCTACTGAGCCATCTCCCGGCCCCACTACTACTATTAATAATAATAATTAAAGAACTGTTGCAGCTCCTACTCTGGGCTGGTACCCACTTCATGCTTTCCCACATTATCTAATTCCGTGCGATCATTCTGTGCGTGAAGCAATCCTGCGATGCCCCCAGGACCCACATGTAGCAGGCGGAGCTGGGCTTCGAACCTGAAACCAGCCCCCACATACCCGACATGAGCAGCAGCCCAGAGCCCTCCCGGTGCCTGCTGTCCTATTAACTCCTCTAGAGGTGCGTCCTCATTTTGCCCCTCTTTGTCCTCAGTACTTTCTGCAGGTACAAAAGGCTTCATGTTTGTTTAAGTGAATTAAGCTCTGCCTTATCTTTTTGCAGGTATTTCTGGGGTATTTCAAATGATTTGTGACCAGGTGGGGAGAATGGGAGTGATAGGGTCATATCTGGGTTTGCATCGCAGTTTCTCTTCCTAAGGCTGAGTGTGACCTTTACCTTAATATCTTTATCTGTAAAATGGGTCAACAACACTAAATACCCACTTTCCCCCTTCCAGGGTTGTGGGAAAGATTCAAACAAGCCAGGCCACAGGCCTTTGAGGGATGTTAGGTAGAAGCCTCCTTATTTGAGTTCTAATCCTGGAACTTTGTGAACAGTAGGGACTTTAAGGTGGTAACTGGAATTAAGGTTGTTAAAGTAGGGAAATTTTCCTGGATGACCTGGGTGGGCCCAGTGTGGTCACACACGTTCCTACCTGTGAAGGGATGGGACATCATCTCCTACTGGATGATGGGTCAGAGCATAGGGTGGTGCTGCTTTGGCAGTGGGGAGACGGCCGATAGCCACTTGGAGCAGGAGCTTGGAGGAGCCAGCCCAGCCCTGCCAGCACCTGACCTGGACTTCGGACGTCAGGACTGCTGAACGTGTGCGTGTCCTGGGCAGCTGCCATCGATCCCGTCCCTTGAGGTCCTTGATGGTTGCCTCTGAGCAGTGAACTTCTCAAGGCTTAAAGGCTTTTCAACCCTCTAGGCTTAAAGCGGACAGAGCTGGCTCAGACAGCTGGCCATCAGAGTGCAAACCCAGGCCGTAGTATCTGCTTGCTGGGTGACTAGGGGCATGTGGCCTCCCCTCTGTGAGCCTTGCGTAGTCCAAGAGTGACTATGATAGCTTTCACACTCACCCCTGTACTCACCCAGAGAGAGAATGGAAGGGTTCCCTGTGTCCTTCCCTAGGCACAGATCACTCCCCAGGGTTTTGGTAGGAGGTGGGAATTTACAGGAGGGATGAAGGGAAGCGTAGACTCCCCATCGCCCTCTCTACCTCCCGTGTGATTCCTCCCAGCCAGCTGAGCCTTCGCCACTCTTTCTCCAGGTGCTGATATTTGGCCTCTCTATCTCTCTTTTACCCAGAACACTTCCGGCGTCTGCAGCTTGGATCTGCCAGCTTTAGCCCGGAAGCTGTTTGGCACTCTTGCCCAGAACAAAGTTCCAAGTTTTCCTTATCTGGCTTACACTTTATTTTATTTTATTTTTATTTATTTATTTATTTATTTATTTTTTTTAGAACTGGGGATTGAACTCAAGCCCTTGCACTTGCTAGGCAAGTGCTTATTCCACTGAGCTATCTCCCTGACCCCACTGTCAATAGTCTTAGTGGACTTTTCCTTCATAAAAATTACTTCAGGGCTGGCCAGAAGGCTCAGTGGACTAAAGCTCCTGCTTAGGCAGAGCACAGTGGCCAGGATTCAATCCCTGGTGCCCTGCTGGCCCTGCCCAAGGGGCACACTGTGACGGTCATTGAGCCTGGGCATGGTGGCACCTGCCTGTAATCCCAGCACTTGGAAGGCTGGAAACAGGAGGACCAATCTGTGTAGTAAGACCCTGTAGG